GCAGACTGCTGTCCGAAAAGACGCAGTAGCAGCAGGCGCTTCCAGGAATCCGCCGCCGTCCTTTGTCTCAGCAGCCCACCACAGTCCACCGCCCGATGGCTTTGAGCTGATCGACTTTGATGATCACGAGGAAGAGGAAGAGGCCGATGCTGCAGAACTGATGGCCGGCGTGGAGGAGGCGGATGTGACCAGCCTGGGCAGCAGTGGTGGCAGTGGTCCGGACGAGGTGGCCACCCTCAAGCTCGCCGATGACAGCTACGACTTTATCGAGCTGGACAAGCTGCGCATTTCCGTCAGCGCCGACGACGAGGACTGCCCTGATCAGCAGCAGCAAGTGATGAACAAGCGCGACCGATCGGAGGACGACAACATNAGACTGCGCTGATCAGCAGCAGCAGCAAGTGATGAACAAGCGCGACCGATCGGAGGACGACAACATGACCACCGGCTCGGAGATTTCCCGAGAGGACCAGCTCCTTCTCACCTCCTCTTCCTCCTCCTCGAAGCCGAAGAAGAAGCGCTCTAAGCGGCAGCTGAACACGACCTACTTCAAGCAGCGATTCCTCCTCTTTTCCCGCTTCAACGAGGGCATCCGCCTCGACCGCGAGTCCTGGTACTCGGTGACGCCCGAGCCCATAGCGCGGCACATTGCCGAGCGCATCGAGCGGGCGCTGATCAGGCACAGTGCTGCATCCACCTCACCATCATCTTCAGCAAACCAGTTCATCATCCTGGACGGCTTCTGCGGCGCCGGCGGCAACACCATTCAGTTTGCTCTGATGCCCAGCACTGCCCTCGTCTACGCCGTGGACATTGATCCGCGGAAGATTGAGCTGGCCCGCCACAACGCCTCCATCTACGGCTGCCTCGACAAGATTCAGTTTATTGTGGCGGACTTTTTCGAGGTGATCCAGGGCGACCGCCTGCCCTGCAGCCTCGTCGACGCCTGCTTCCTCAGTCCACCCTGGGGCGGCCCCGACTACCTCACCTACGAGAGCTACTCGCTGGCGCAGATGACGCCCGACGGCTTTGAGATTGCCCGCCGCGTCGCCGACCGTGTCACCAAGAACATTTCCTTTCTCCTGCCGCGCAACTTTGACATGGGCGAGCTGCCTTCACTCAGCTCCATCGTCTACCAGAACGACGTGGGCAGCGGCGAGATGGAAAAGTCGGTGGAGATTGAGGAGAACATGCTCTACAAGAAGGTAAAGACACTCACTGCCTACTTTGGCCATCTGGTCATCAGAAAGGAGGGCGATGATGGTGGTGGCAGTGGTGACGGTGGTGCTGATGAGAAGGAGGTGAGCGCGCTCTTCAAGACGGCGCAGGTGTGCTCTCCGCCGCCAATCTACCTGGCCGACGAGGAGGAAGAGGAGGAGTAGTTTTTGAATGAACTTTATTTTCATCATCTGTACATAAGCTCTCATTATCATCATCATCAGTCACCGAGGGGAGTGTGTTGCCACCTTTGCCGATCAAAGTGGACCTTGCCCTGGCGGAACAGCGGCTCTTCCTCTTCAGTCCACCGGGCGATGCTAAAGTCGGGGAAGAAGAAGGCCACCTCTCTGCTCGCCGTCTCCACTGAATCGGAGCCGTGAGTGGCGTTTCGCGTGTCTGTCGCCCCGAAGCGGCCCCTGATTGTCGTCGGCTGTTCCAGGCGAGTTCTGCAAGAGAAATGTTCATCATCATCAGTTTCAGCNTGTCGTCGGCTGTTCCAGGCGAGTTCTGCAAGAGAAATGTTCATCATCATCAGTTTCAGCTGTATCTTCTCATTCCACTCCCCTCTTACCTGTACACCTTTGTCGGTCCCATCAGCGTCCTCCAGCGTGCAATGGCGTCGGTGCGAGCCAGTACGTGCACAGCACAGTCGCCGCTGCTCATGAAGGCCACCAGACGATTGTAGAAGAACTTGCCTGGGAAGGAGAGGAAGGAACAAAGATTGATTAGTATCTCCTCTCGCTTGTTAATCATCTTTCTGTACAAATCACTAACTTTAGTTTATACATTCTTTTGTTC